TTTTTTAATTTATTTATTACAGGATAAAAAAACAAAATAAAACCTTGAAACTATACATTTATTTTCCTTTGTATTAAACTAAAAGTTTTACAAATCTTCCAAACGATTTTGTATTTATGTAACTTTTACATGTTTAAACTAATGCATATATATCAACCTCTTTAATAATTAAAAAATAAACATAACTTTAATATTGAGTTAATAAATTTTACGCGAAGAGGATATGTTTTAAAACATGTAAATGTAATAACAAAAAATAAAACAAAACTAAAAAACAAATATTTATACTAAAACATTTAAAAATAGAAATACTCCTTCTTCCAGAAGGTCATCAGAACCATCGTTCACATGTAAATTGACCCAAAATTGCTTTTTACTGTCGGCCATCTTTGGTACTAATTCTTTTAGAATTGGTTCCTTTTTGGATGATTGAATACCACGTGTTTTCTTTCAGGAAAAGTGTTTACCTCAACCTTTCGTTTTAAAATATTGGACGATTTTAAAAATGGTTGCTGATAGTTGGTTTTATAAAAAAATCATGCAAATTTCTTTCAAATTTAACTTCGACTACATCTTTCAGGTATGGAAGAATATCTCTCCTTTCTCTTGGTTTTCTTTGCCTTATTATAGATTTTAAATCCATGAAGTCTCCAATAGTGACACTCAAAATCTGGTTTCTTTTTTCTGCTTTTTCACACACTTCAATAAAATCTTGAACGTCACAAGCGTTTTTCTGTTTTATTTGTTGTTCGATCTTTCCATGGATTCCGTCAGCTGCCATAAGTGTGTGCCCTTTGGCAAGATATTTCAAACATATTTCTTCATTAGTAGATAAACCTGAATTAACATAATTTAATATTGTACTATATAAAACCCAATTTTTGTTCTGTCCCGTACAATTATCAAGCCACAGAATTATGTTTTTAACATCTCTATATTTTTTTAAGAAAGCCAAAAAACACATGAAACGTCTTCCGCATTTCTAGCAGCTATAGCCTCGTGTCAGATTACCAGTAAGTGTTTATCTTTGGGTTTTAGAGAAACAAAACTTTCGTTGAATAGAAGTCTGGATAAAAAGAATGAATCTTTTACGTCGGGCATTCTAGGCAACAGAATTACTTTTTGCATGTCGACAATGTAAACTATAGTATCAGGATCCCTATTTGCTTTGTCTTTCTTATAATTTTGTCTGCTATCCTGAACCTATAAAAATATTATAAAAGTTATGATCGAAATACTTAAGGTAAGCGCATTCTATTCGCATCGCACGGAACGGATGGATTTCCTAGTTTGTGCGACTTTCGGGTAGAAGTGGCAACGTTGTAACCTTTAAAACATTTTTAGAAGGAAGCTTCAACACTATCTTAATAGCATACCCTCAAAATTTCATAGTTTTCATTTTTTTTAAGATCTTAAACCGAAAGTTTGTAGAATATTTTTGAAAACAAGTCCTCTAATCCTCTGCTGAAATTTCTCTAAAACATAGCCCAACCATAACACAACCTTAAACTGTGAAACTTAAATTATATATATACAAATAACGGATGGACCTCCTTACTTTTCCAGTAGCTTTTCGTAACATAAATAATGTTCTTGGAGTCATTTTTAAACGCCAATATTCACCATAACCTCACAGAATAGGTACACATACAATAACACTGACCTTGCCCTTAGGAAAGGCCTCTGGCAAACTAAAATATTCGCGCCAAACTCGGGTCAGGACATGTATAAAACTATAAGGGTTGGAACTGTTGAAATTCAAACGCATTCAAAAAGTGGTAAAAACGTATATACTTATTTAAGTTTTTTTTACAATGCAAAGATTTTAATTGTCTATTAACCATACAATAAAACAACAACGTAAGAAGTTGATAAAGTATTATTTCATTGTATTACATTGGTATATTGTCACTCTAAAAAATATACTTTAACTGTATCAGATCATACGTTTTTCTTCTATTGAAAAGTTAGGTATTTTTTTGATTTAAAATTTGTATAGCTTATGTACGTCATTTTACCAAAGTATTATAAGCACAAAAAGTACAGTTACGTCCTTTTATCATTGTACTCTGAAAAAATAACGCTTATACCTGCTTTGTCCAATGCATTTATTGAAACAACGATACGACTTAAACCAACAGCAATTATACCGTTAAAAAGAGCGTAAAAAGTTATGTAAATAGTAACCTATAAAAAAAAATCGAAATTTGCTTATAAGGCTTTTTACCATTGCAGGGCAGTGCTTACAATCTGCCAACTAAAACACAGAACGCAACAATGTTTAGCCAGAATACCTAACTGACCTGGGCTCAGGTATAATCCCTATTTTTTTTTAATATTTATAATTTTAAGCATATGAGGATTAAATTATCCTCTTTGTATTAAAAACAAACCTTCCAAGTCCAATAATCAAAAATAAAATAAGAAATGAATGGAACGTATTTAAAGTGTGTAGGTAGTTTTATTAATATTAATAAAACTCAGTAAAATTAGTCTTAGCGCTTTCAGCCGGTTAGGCCATCATCAGAGACTCTACAAAGATAAAAAAACGGAGCTATAACAATAGTCAAATCGAGATATTCCTAAACATTGAATAAAAAATAAAAAAAAAAAAACATTAAAACTTACTTGTCAGTAAATATAGAAGGTGCATGAAAATTAATTATTTAAAATTTTATTTATTAGATTAAAAGGACTGCCACAATACGGTCCCTGGTTCTCAACCATGACTTGAGGCTTGAAACGAAGCAAAACCAATCTTAACAGGTGGTTGAAAATTGATAAAAAATGTGGGGGCTCATCCCAACACGTGTAAATAAACTGTCTCAACTTTTCCAAGGAAGAGAGATGGAAAAAACTGAACTTCAGCTTGAAGCCAGCTGCCCTTTCAAAGTAGCTACCGTGAGGCGGTGGCAAGTTGGGGCACAGGTAATCGTAAATACGTTCCATTCATTTCTTATTACCCAGAGTGTACACACCACTCAACCTCTTCAAAAATAAAATATTAAAAAAACAGGTTTTTTAAATTATTTTAACATCCTGTATCTTTAATTTTTTTTTTATTTTAGTAAAATCGACACATAGATTATCTCCTTCAATATTGACATGACGCTCAGGGCTAAACTTAGGTAATGATAGTGTCGATTTTTTATTAATTTTCTTGTTTTCTGCTTCTAATTTCTGCAAAAACTCAGTTTTAAAACTCTAGCCAGCTGGTATCATATTGGCGGATAACTTTCGGGCGTATCGGGCGTAGAGTTTTGTCCAACACTAACTAACAACCTTTAAAGCGTTCTGAAGCTTCCAGTCTGCAGCTTTTTTCTGTAAAATTTGGCTCGCTGAAATAGGACATCGATAAATGGCTTGTCTGGATTTGCTCGAAATAATGCATGGTACGTCAGAGTGGAAAGTTGTAAATGATAGTGGCCGAGAGACATTAATCTTACTATAAGTTTCAAGTTGGATCCGTATCTGAAAAGAGTTATTGTTAGAGTATGTACGAAACGTGAATAAATCCTGGTTTTCATTTTAACGTCAATAATTGAATGTCCTAAAAATAAAGGGCCAACGTATCTATTGAAAAAAAAAAGAAGAATGTATGTACATTCCATTGTTAAATAAATGGACGAATAATTGAATACTTTATCTAATGTATAGATTAGATATGTTGAAAAAATAGTATATTACATTACGAGTGTGGAAAGTGACATTTTTCACACGAGTGGAAAATCACTTTTTATACAAGTGATGTACAATATTTTTCCTACGACCACAAAATAATTTTATCAAAAAATGTGAAACCAGGTTATTATTATAATAATTAAAATGTATTTAAAAAAATAATCAACAATAATTGTAATTATTTAATTTTCATAATTTTCGAAGCAAAAATAAAAAAACAAAACAAACAAAAAAATTAAAAAAAAATCTGCAACCACCGAGTTTTGAACGCGGGCCCGCGGACCCGTCGTGTAAGCCAAAGTACAAATTGTAACTACCCTACAACCTGAGCTAATGGGTCTTATGTCAAATGCATTTTTAATTCGATTTTAAGTTTAAACAGTATGAAAACCCAAAATAATGAGATGTATGTAGTTATTTTAAAATTATTTTAATAATTGTTAAAAATAAATATCTAGGATCTAAGTTAATCGTCAATTTTAATAATTTATTTATCATATCGATTAAACTGTTAATATGGACATTACATAAATCAAAATAGAAATGATGCGTTTTACATTTTGTGAAAAAAAAAAGTAAAAATCAGGAAATTAAGATACGGAGATTTAATCAAAATGTGAAAGATCCTAGTTTTTGTTTTATTTGCTTTACTGATTTTGAAAAGGCTTTGCGGATTGTATTTTTCGTCAGAAAAATAAAGATTATTATGAGATACAAATTAAGTAAATTACATTGCGAGTGCGAAAAAGTCACTTTTCCATGAGTAATGAATATTATGTTTTCTCTGACAAGATTTCATAAAAAAAAATAAAATCAGGAAATTTGGATAGGGAGGTGCAATGCAGATGTGACTGGTTCTAGATTTGGTTACTTGCCTTACTGATTTTAAAAATGCTTTACGGATGGTTTCGTCGAAATTAAAGACATAATGAGCCGGCGTGAAGGGAACACGTATTTACGTTGCCTGCTTAAATTTTATCAAAAGAATTGAAAATATTTCATATATAACAATTAAAATTAAATAAATATATAAAAAGTTAGTTTTCTGAACAGTATTCTAAAGATTTTTAAGTGAAGTGAGGTGCCTTCTTTGAAATCTGCATTAAAAGAAGTTAATCAGAGATCATATACCAAACTGTAAGCAATAAAGTCTAATTTTGCATGCTATTTATTAATCGACAAGTACTGACAAACTGATAAGAAGCAAATCGGTTAGGTAGTTTACCTTGAAATCTAAGCGAATCTTCAAATAAAATTTTTGTCTAGTTTACATCGGCCCACAGTAGAAGGTGCTTCTTAAATATACGTTCTAAAAGGCGATGTCGACGACGCCAAGCTTGCAACATCTATTTAATCTTATTCAGAGTGGTCATGCTGATTTAAAAACCGAAACAAATAGTTTTAAAACTTCTATTGAGAGTAAAATATCACATTTAGTAGACGATATTAAAGATTTAAGAAAGGAAAATACTGAATGTAAACAACGAATTTTGGAGAGCGAAAGAAAATTGAAAAAATTTAATTTAATTGTCTATGGAGTACAAGGTGTTGAAACTGATACAACTGATGAACTCTTAAAAGTTATAGGAGACTACTTACATATTACATGTAATAAACAGCAATTCCGTGATGTGTTTAGATTTGGTAGACAAGTTGAAGGAAAAATACGTCCCATTCTTTTTGAAGTGGTAAATTATGAACTTAAAACTCAAATACTTAATGCTGCTCGCTTAATTAACGAGGATTTAAGAAAAATAAAAGTACTTTTTTTAAATGATTACGCCAAAGAAGACTATATTAAAAGAAAATTTTTACATGGTCAATTAAAAGAGGCCAAAACCATTCATCCACAAGCCAAAATAAAAAAAAAATCTTTTATATTTAAATGATGGTTCATCCAGAAGTTTTACTTATCAAGACCTAATGGGAACATCCCTACATAATCAAGAGCAAGAAACTTCCATAAAAAATACTACTAATAATATAACTGAGCCCAATAAGAGGAAATTTGATGCATCGCCAACAAGCATCGTCAGTGCACCAAAAATTATGACTCGGTCTACTGTTAAAAGTTTGGAATGCTTAGTTTAATATTATTTATATTCATTACTACACTGTAACAAAAATTATCTTACATTATTACATCTAGAACTTTTTTTCTTATTGTTTACTGTTTTTCTTTTATTTTTTTTTTCTCTATTAGTTTTTTAAATAACTATTCAGTGAGAATATGAAGCTTTTAATCGCTCAGCACAATGTAAAGTCACTATTATTGAAAGTTAATTTTATAAGAGATTATTTGAGGGATGAGAATTATGACATATTGCTGTTGACTGAAACTTGGCTAAGTGATGCAATTCCAGATCAAAATAATTATAAGATGGTTAGAAGGGACAGACAAAACAGAAGGGGAGGTGGAGTAGCGGTTTATATAAAAGACACATTATTTTATGATACTATTCCAACATCTGAAAACTATGAGCAACTTTGGACAAATAAACAAAAATAAACAATCATTTGCTGTAGGAGTTGTTTACCGTCCTGAAGGCTCACTAGATGAGTTCTTAGTTCAATTTGAAAATGAGGTTTCTAACTTACTTCCTAAACATGACGAATTATTCTGTTTAGGGGATTTTAACGTTGATATGCTTAAAAGCAACAATGCAGAAAAAAAGTTCATATCACTTTTGGATTCTTTTAATTTAAAACAACATGTTAATCAACCAACAAGGATAACTGCAACTACTGCCTCTTGTTTAGATTTAATAATAACTAGCAACGACGAAATGGTAAGCGATATAAAGGTTCTTCCTTTAGGACACATTTCAGATCATGATCTGACATCTTGTGCTATGGAGATCGAAGGTGAAAGTAGTGAGATTAAATATAAAATTATTAAAGACTTGATTTATATACATGTGGCTTGCAAAATATTTATGATATAAAAATTAAAATCCTTAATAATACCTTAAAATACTTATTCGATAAGCATGCCCCAATAAAAAAAGTTAAAATTACAAAAAATATTGTCCTTGGCTCACTGATAATTTACCACTGATGATTAAATTAAGAAATAAAGCTCAAGCTAGATGGCGAAAAACCAAAAACCCTGCTCACTTTAATTATTACAAAGAACTAAGAAATTATACAACAACTGCTTTTAGGCATGAAAAGAGAGCATATTATCAGTATAAATTTAATGTTGTAACCCCACCAAATAAAGTTTAGAAAGTATTGGACTCTATGGGCTTTCATAAGAGAAAATCTATTTTCATACCAGATAACCTGAGTAATGAGAATGTTATTAATGATTATTACATAAATGGTATTCCAAAAACGGATATATCAGATGAATTATTACACTTTTACATTAACAATATATCACCAAACGCAGCAACTTTTGCTTTTCAACAAACAGAACATATAGAAATCCAGAAAATTTTTTATAACATAACACATTCCATGTGAAGTGATTTTTTAAACATAAAACTTCTCTTACATTGTTCTCCTTATATAATACCTTATATTACACACATAGTAAATTTCTGCATAGAACAAGGAACATTTCCTGACAAATGGAAAGAGGCCATTGTCATCCCTGTACCTAAAAAAGCTAATAAGGACCTTAGGCCCATTAGTATTCTCTTAACTTTGTCTAAAGTAATAGAAAGAGTTCTGGAAACACAATTGAGAAAATATGCATTTGAAAATAAATTGCTTCCTGAGGTATAGTCTGGGTTTAGAGCAAATTACAGCTGCGAAACAGCCCTTCTTAATATCACAGATGATATTTTTAGTGCAACGGATCATAATAAGATAACTATCTTAACTCTATTAGATTTTTCAAAAGCCTTCGACACTATTAACCACAAGCTAATGTGCGCAATACTAAAATATATTGGTTTCACAAACGGTGCGGTAGACTTAATTAGAAGCTACTTTAGCAACCGAAGTCAGTTAGTAAAATTAAAAGAAAGTGTTTCAAATCCCTTAATTATATCATCAGGTGTACCTCAGGGATCGATTTTAGGACCATTGTTATATACTCTATATACGTCAAATTTCGCAAAAGTTGTCACACTGCAATTTCCACTTTTATGCTGATGATACGCAACTTTACCACCAATTTTCAGACAATATTATTGAAAACACTAAAGTTATTAATACTGATATATAAAACCTTCTGAAGAGTGCAAGTGATTATGGTCTGATTATAAATTCTTCTAAAAGTACAGCCTTAATATTTGGTCAAAAAAAAAAGAACTAAGATTTTAAATTCAAATTTAATAAATATTAAAGTCCAGGATGTGTTCATCTCTATAAAAGATACTGAAAAAAATCTAGGGGTTATATTAAATCAGAACCTTAATTTCGCCGAACATGTGAATAATTGTATTCGCCGTTCGTATGCCAACTTAAAATTAATTTATCGAGAAAGACATAACTTAACAAAAAAAATAAAAATAAATTTATGTGAAAGCCTTTGTATTATCACATTTTAATTATTGCGCTAATGTGTACGGACCGTGTATAAATAGTATAAATATAAGAAGAATACAAGTCGATTAAAATTCTTGTCTTCGCTTAATATTTAGTATCAGAAGAAGACAAAGAATCTCTAATAAATTGAAAGAGGTTGGATGGTTAAATATGTGTGACCGACGGTATCTTCTAAATAGCTCCCTTTATCATAAAATCTTACAAAATAAATGTCCAAGTTACTTATATAATAAAATACGCTCTAGATCAACAAGACATTTCTTAAATACACGTAACAAAAATCTTATTAATACACCACTGCATAATTCGGAAGCATTTAAAAGATCATTTAGCTATCAGATAGTCAAAGTTTATAACAACTTGCCAAATAAATTTAAAAATATGCCTGTGTTTACATTTAAAAAGAACCTTAAAAAATATCTATTATCTAAGCATTAATTGAAAGTGTCCCTACAAATAAAAAATTTAAACATATATGTATTTCATTTTATTTAATTTTCTTTCTTACTTCTACAATTTAAAATTAATTACTTATTTATATCCATCTAATTTACTTCAATCAATGGTGACTATACATTGTAATTAAACGCTCATGTAATAAAATATAGACACAATTATTGTTAGTTTAAAGTAACTACCTGTTCCATTCTCTAGTTTTCGGTACAATGAACTTATATATTTTTTCTTTTGGTAGCTTAAGATGAAAAACAGCTAATACTTCTTGTAGACGTATACAGCTGATCTTCGGCTTTTTTCATAGATACTCATTTAATGTAATTCACAATACAAACTTATATTGAAATTGATCTGTAAAATATGAAAATAAAGACCTTTATTATTAATATTATTATTTTTATTATTATTAATTACATGTAAAGACACTTTCATCGAATAATAAAGATTAATATTAGGTACAAAAATATATTTAAATAAAATAATAATGGTTTTCATTAGTTTATTTTTAAAAATACAACAAATAATAATATAAACAAGAAATTTTTTAAGCTATTGCATAGCTTTAATCGCGGGCTTTGAGCGCGGCGACCGAATCAAGAAATGTCCGTAACGACCGTAACGAAAATAACCTAACACCCCCCACTCCGATCGGCACAGCGGTGCAGCGTTAAATGCCTTGGAAGGTTTTATCCGAACCCGACTCTATTCGTATAGCCCAATCGGATTAGGTGAAGAACAGGCTTGAGATTCTGAAAAATTCGAAGCAGCAATTTTCCTTCGGAATTCGTTGGAGGGGGTCTGTGGTAGTCTAAATTCAAAAAGTTGGGATTCCAAAGTTGTCGTTACCTCCGCCAGCTTGATTTAAAGGGTTATTTTTTGTATCTTGAATAACTCATTTATTTTCAATTTTACACGGAAAATAGTTTTTACAAAAGTTATTTAAAATTAAATTTCCTACAATTCTGCTTTTTTTTGTACGATCGATTTTTTTCGATTTATACCCGAAAAGAGGGGGTGAATTTTTGGTTATAGAATAACTCGTTTATTTTCAATTTTACGAGAAAAATTGTTATAAACAAAGTTGTTTAAAATTAAATTTTCTACAATTCTGTTTTTTTTTGTACGCTCGATTTTTTTGTATTTATCCCTGAGAAGAGTGGGGGTAAACTCTTATCATTGCCACAACTGCAACGGAGAAACGTGCGAAAGCGTTGTTTCAATTCGAGAGCTGCTGGATGAAGATGACCTTGGTAGTGACGAAAACCGCTCAGAGCAAGTCACCCCCGAACCTCCTGAGCTTCCAGACGAATTCGTCGACAATTACGAGGAAGAATCGAACGACGAAAACTTGGCCGATCCATCGGCTTAACGTTCCAAACAGACGTCATTGACGTTTCGATAGACTTTTAAAAGTGTACTGAAAAGAAAATAAATTTCATTTATTTAATTGTAAAAATTATACTGTTCGATAAACTGATTATTTACACCCCTCTTTTCCTTTACCGTAAACGTGCGACCCTCTTTTCGGGTATAAATCGAAAAAAATCGATCGTACAAAAAAAAAACAGAATTGTAGGAAATTTAATTTTAAACAACCTTGTTTATAACAATTTTTCTCGTAAAATTGAAAATAAACGAGTTATTCTATAACCAAAAATTCACCCCCTCTTTTCGGGTATAAATCGAAAAAAATCGATCGTACAAAAAAAAACAGAATTGTAGGAAATTTAATTTTAAACAACTTTGTTTATAACAATTTTTCTCGTAAAATTAAAAATAAACGAGTTATTCTATAACCAAAAATTCACCCCCTCTTTTCGGGTATAAATCGAAAAAAATCGATCGTACAAAAAAAACAGAATTGTAGGAAATTTAATTTTAAATAAATTTTGTAAAAACTATTTTCCGTGTAAAATTGAAAATAAATGAGTTA